GACACTCAAAAATTAATCAGCTTTGATCTTCTATTAACCACCCCACAAACAACACTTCCTTGTCTCACCAGAGTGTTTTTAAGATAAGACTCCTTACTTACAGTGCTGAAAGCAACAGACACATGCATTACACCAGCCTATATGTCCTCTTCTACTACTGAAACTGCTGTAACACTCATCATCTTTGCTGTCCTCCCTGCCTACATTCTACCCTTCACCGTATCCTTTTGGGGATTATGAATTACTTTTTTCCTCAGACCATTTAACTGGCAAGTTAATTTTGAACTCTGACCCTAACCTCCAATATCTGCAGCTTCTCCTCTAGGTAGCATTGCCAGAAAATCAAATCAGCATATTCTATTCCATTCCATTTTAATGACAGGTAATAATGCACAGCAGCCATAGGATAAAACCTTGCAGAACCAAAGTGGATAAGCATGACAAGTTTTAGAGTAATCACCAACATAGATCAGGTACAAGTTTTCCACCCACTTTTAGCCACACCTTAGAATCATAGAATAGTTAGGGTTGGAAAGGACCTTAAGATCATCTGCTTCCAACCCCCCTGCCACGGGCAGGGAGGGACACCTCACACTAAACCATGCCACCCAAGGCTCTGTCCAACCTGGCCTTGAACACTGCCGGGGATGGAGCAGTTACCACTTCTTTGGGCAACCCATTCCAGTGCTTCACCACCCTCACAGTAAAGAACTTCTTCCTTATATCCAATCTAAACTTCCCCTCTTTAAGTTTTAACCCATCACCCCTTGTCCTATCACTACAGTCCCTAGCGAAGAGTCCCTCTCCAGCATCCTTGTAGGCCCCCTTCAGATACTGGAAGGCTGCTATGAGGTCTCCACGCAGCCTATGAGGTCTCCATGCAGCCATACACTGTTATCATCTAGCCTACATGTTCTTAGACCCTGAGAATATCAGAGTAGCTTCTGATTTATACTAGGTGTTAACTCTCTCCTCACCAGGTCTATAGATTAAGCTATATGTCATAACAAGCCTCTCTTTTTTCCACAATGTTGAACAGTATCATGTACTCTTCTTTGGAGCTAACTGGAACATATTCAGCTACAGTAATTTGTAACCCAATACTATGAAGTATAATGGAATACTACAAATAAATCAGCCATTTTAAACAAGTCTCAGCTACAGCACGGAGCAACAGCTTTGATCCAGTATCACATTTCATCATGTGGTATTAAGTACAATGTAATCAAAATGCAAATATTTATAAAAATAAAGAATGCAAGGGCTACAATGCTTTTGCTTCCACTTCATTTTTCTAGGTCCTCTCATTTTAATTAGCAAATGTTTTGAAAAACTCCACAAACACTTTATCAAGGTACTTACACGGATGAAGTGACTGCACAGAGCAATTCCCAATAAGAGATTGGAAATCTGTATTTCTGCTTCAAAGGCTCACTGCCTGCAGTGTTAAGAGAAAGATGTTTATGTCTGCCCCTCTGAACACACAAATATCCACAGGTCAATTTATATAGCAATGTTCAGTGCTTAAGACTGAAGGATTATGTAATGCTGCCTTATTGCCCATTTTCACTAAAAACAATGACTCTCAGTACCACATATCACCATATACAGCAAAAATGTGGTATTAAGAAGCAGTGACAATATTTCACAGATTTTTTAATTAAATCTCGAGGTGTCAGCGCTGACGTATGACACAAACGTACAGGTTAGTGAAGAGCGTTGAATGAAATGGCCTCAAGTGATTTCAAACTGAGCATAATTGTAAGCATATGAAACTCTCTCCAGGCACTGAAGAGACTTCACCAGGAGTTAGGTGTAGATTTCTATCACTCATATGCAAGGAGTAATTAAAACAGAGATGAGACATACTGGCATCTACAGGGGAATCAGGAGTCTACCTGTCTATGGCAGTTTCAACCAGCTTGCATTGTTTATCACAGCAAAACAGCCTTAAGGGGTAGGACTGGGCTTTTGTAAATACCAGAACACTAACTGCCAAACTACTAAGTAGAGTTTTTGACGTTCAAGGATAATTCAGACCCTACGAAGAAATGCATACTAAACAGGAACAAGTTATGTCTGAAATTGGAAGGTTGCCTCAAAAGATGTTCTCAAATGATGCTTTCAGCAGCAGCAAAAGGAGAAAAAAAAACAACAACCCAGCACCAAACTGAAATAACTTCTCAAAAGGATGTGAATGAACTCATATGACTTACTGTGATAGCAGATGACTAAACCCAATGATCCAGACTTTCTGATCAAAATGTAGTCACGTGCTTAAATGGTTTCTTAAAAACCATTTAGGCCTTGAGGCCATATTTTTGGGTGAAAACACACGTGGCTCTATTAATGACAAACATATGCTGAGTCATACCAGTTCAGGGTCTAGCATGTAATTTTCAATTATTTAAGACTCATATACACTAAATATGAAACAGGAGTGGGAGCACATGCTGATAGTGTGTTGATGACAACTTTTTGATGACTGACAAGCTAAGTAGGTGCTCTGTTGAACCTGTTTTCACAAACAATCAAGAATCAGATGGGTTTGAGAACACCGAGGAGAATGTCAGCTGCAATGACCATTACATTGTGGAGTTTAAAATCCTGAGTCAAGTGAGCAAAATAAATTATAAAAACTACAATCCTGGCCCTCAAGAAAGCAGATCTTGGTTTGTTCAGGGATCTGCTTGGCAAGGACCATGGGATACTGCCATGAAGTTCAAGAAGGCCAAGTCCAAAATCCTGTATATGTGTCCAGGTGATGCCAGGCACAAATAGAAGCTGGGCAGAGAACAGGTTGAGAGGCAGCCCTGAGGAGAAGGACTTGGGGGAGTGCTGATTGATGAGAAGGTCAACATGAGCTGGCAGTGTGCGCTCACAGCCCAGAAAGCCAACTGTCGTGGGCTGCATCAAAAGGAGCATGACTCCGCTCTCATACACCTGCAGTACTGCGTCCAGCTCTGGCACCCCCAACACAAGAGGGATGTGGACCTTTTGGAGCGAGTCCAGAGGAGGCCACAAAGATGTTCAGAGGGCTAGAGCACCTCTCCTATGGTGAGAGGCAAAGAGAGTCGGGCTCGTTCAGCCTGGGAAAGAGAAGGCTCCAGAGAGAGGGACACTTCGTCCAAATGGCTTTAGAGTATCCCCAAGGATGGAGACTCCACAACCTCCCACGAGAATCTGTGCCAGCTCTCAGCCACCCTCACAGTGAAAGTGTTTCTTGATGTTCAGACATATCATCCTGTATTTCAGTTTATATTCCCCGCCTCTTATTCTGTCACTGGGCACCGCTGAAAAGACCCTGGCTCTGTCCATTTTGTACTCTCCCCTCAGGTATTAATATACATTGATGAGATCCCCCTGCGCCCTCTCATCTCCAGGCAGAACAGTCCGCCTTTCCTCATGTGACAGAAGCTCCAGTCCCTTAATCATCTTAGTGGCCCTGGGTTTTTTGCAGGCGGATTTTAGCACTGACATATTGAAGCAAGTCTAGTGAAGGACCGTGAGGCTGAAGCACATCAATGAATGAACAGTGGCTGAAAGAAAAGGATTTGTTTAGCCATAAGACGGCTTTGCTGTCTTCAGCTACCTAATGGGAGTCCCTGTGGTACCTCCATCCTTGTAGAGTTGACAGAGCCCTGAGCAACCACATCTAGTTGGGAAGCTAGAGTGATACTGAGTGATCCCTTCTAATGTAATATAAGTCAATGGCATCCAACAGTGCGTTTTTTTCTATTTTTCTGTATTTCTACCAGAACGTGTTTTACCAATTAGTAATAGAAGTCCTCGTCCAAGTGGTATTTTGTTTAAGTGTTTTTCTGCTACACTTTCCAAACTACAGGAATAGAAAAGAGCATCTATCACACTAAAAGTATGGCAAGAGAGTATTACCCACTAGGAAAGAGATTAAATACACATACCCTTTTATGGAGGAAGAGAAGAAGAAAATATTTGCAAGAACACTTGCCTGATTTGTTATCCCATTATGGAAAAAATGGTCTAACAATACTGCAAAGATTCAGTACATAAACAGATAATCATGCGAAAGAACTGCAGACACTGCAACAGCTAATTGGCCCTGCATAAGCTACATAAGCATTTGGTTTACATAAATTATACTACTCTTACCCTGACACATGTAGAGTTCTCTCCTTTCTTACCATCACAGATGCTGAACTACACAAAAAGCACGTACTTCCCTTAAGCAGTTTCTCAAAGACAAAATAAGTGTTGGATAAAGCAAAACATAGCAGCTAAAAAATTGGTTAGACTTTTGCAAGTGCTAATTCAGCCAACCTAACTGATGAAAGTTAATTTGTAAGTGATCCATACTGCAGAGATCACTAACAGAAGAATACAGATACCTAACTCTCCATTTATTGTTATGAAATACTAGTATTACAGCAACAACATCCATTACTTGATCTGCATTTAATTGTATAGATTGAGCCAGCTGATTTTCACTTGCAGACAGAACATGTGAATACATTGTTACCCGTGGATACAGCTACAATTCATTTCACATACTCTACACAGGGAAACACAAAAAACAGATCTGAAATTGCTTGGACAGTAAATTAATATGCACAAAGGAACAAACTGCTATCATCAACCTGGAACCACCAGCCCAGAGGAAGCCTCAGAGGCACAACCTACCCTATGTGAAATGCGGTGGGTTTTTGACTGTTTGATGGATCATGCACACAATGGTACACCCATGTCTAGACTAGCATCATATCTCAAAAATACATAAATGCTTTATACTCAGATGTTTAATTCTGAAAAGATTTAAAGATAGGTGCAACCAGCAGAGACTTATAGGCCACAAACCTCTACGGGTGAGGGTGATGGGTTCAGATATCTATTAAACATCTGGTAACTTTCATTCTGTGGAGCAGAACAGGCATGTAATATTAACTGCTGGCCTGGGAGTTATGCTTTACTTCTGAAGAACTGGATGTGGCAAGTGACATTTCATTACATGTGAACACAAAACACTGCATCAGGGAAAGGTTTTGTTTAAAATGTTAGTTACCACAGTAAGGGCAACCAACAAATTATGTAACATTGGTGAACTCTTTGTGCCATTTCAAAGGAGAAAAAAACCCAGCATGCTTTGTTTAAAGGGAGTTTCTCATGGCGATATTGCCACAGTCCCAGGATACACTGGGATAGGCTACACTGAGCATGCTTCTTTCACTCCATTTCGTGTTCGGACTACAAATAACTGTTGAATCTCTTTCAACCACCAGACCTCTGACCTAGATAACATCTCTCGAAAAAACAACAACAAAAAGAAAATCACATGGTCTTAGGTGTAACAAACATATGGATACTATTTAGCCATGAAACAATACCTTATTTAAGGTCAGTTCTCTCATAATTATCATAGGGATAGATTTGTATCAGCTGAAAGACAGTATTTCTGGTTTTACTCTTTGTTCTTTGCCCTTGAAAATCCTCATACTTCAAATCTTAACCATGAAGGTGTATTTTAAGAAAACTTTTAAGAACAGACTATTTTTTTAATGCAGCCCTCCAGTTTTTCATAGTTGGATTTATGCTTTCGCAGTTGGATTTATGTTTTTTCAATTTGGGGTAAAAAAGAAAAAAAAAGATTACTATTTCTCAATAATGCATTAAAAAGTTTATTGTGCACTTTGGTAAAGAAATAAGAACCACTGCAGCTGGAAAGCTCCTATTCCAAAGCAGGAAAACAAATGTGGCATCTTTTATCTGAACAGATGTGTTCCTAATGTATTTAGAATAAATACTTCCTACTTGAATTAAAAAAAAAAAAAAAAATCATAAATCAGCCAAAATCCCATTGTATTTATTTTGTTTCTAGTATAAAATATTTCCATATTTCCAGCGTGAGAACAAGAGCGTGATTCTCTTCTTAAGAAGCACTACTAAAATTTTTTTATTCCTAAAGTCACTTAGAATTCCCCAAACCCAGTGAAAATAATAATGTTGGCTAAGTGTCAGAAAGCATACATCAAAAGCAATACTTAAGACGCAATTTGACTTAAACCTTTAATATTTGCTGTGACACGTGACTAAAAAAAGATCTATGGTGCTCCTACAGGAAGGACAGTTCATAAATTGTCCTCATAAGCTTGAGCATGTTTCAAAAGAAAACCCCAAAGGAACAGAAAATAAGCATACCATTATGCAGAATGGTTTTCTGAAATTCCACTATTTAATGTATGTCACAGTGAAGCAAATTTGTTGAGGGGAAAAGTAACCAGTCAATTGGGCTTTGCTCAGAATTAAAGAAAACTTGGAGAGCATGTCTTCCCTTGCACTATAGTGGCTTTGAGAATGAGCAAAGAAACACACAGGTTTTGTTAGGTGAAAAACTTCTACTTTGTCCTGAATATTAGACATGATGTGATAGATGCTGAAAAGAAAAAGCTGGTAAGTGAAAATATATTTGATAAGAAAGAGACTGAGCTAAAACGTCTAGAAGGGATGACCCATGGACATTCAAATCATGAATGAATGCTGGATGGGCTTCTTTCATAACCTGGGGAAAGAAGAACAATGGTTAGTAAAAAGTTCCTCCTGTGAAACTTACTCAGATTTATTTCAGGAAAAAAGAATACTTTACTAATCAAGTGTGTACTGCTTGAAATAAAGCAGTTAAAAATAATCAAAACACAAACCTTCCACTTCACTCAAGAAACAGACAAACTTCTCTCCACCCTCAGAAAACAAAGCAGCAACAATTTAGGACACAATTTGAAATCAGGTTAATCCGCAAGGATGCTTGTTTAATGACAAGATAGTGCATATGACTTCCCTATGATGGTGCAAACATGATTTCCCACATAAGCACAATGCAATTTGCACTATGAAAGATCATTTTTCATAAGGCCTAGCCTCAGCTAACTACAAGAGCTAGGAATTAAGAGGCTCACAGTTATCTTCCTTTGACTGAGCCAAGCTTTATCCCTTCTCTACAAGATTTCTTCAGACTGCCAGTGTGCTTTCCAGGCAAATCACTTCCATGCACAACACTGTGCTTCATGCTCCAGAGCAGACTCGGAGCACACTTCATATTCTCCCAACTGCTAAAAAAAAAGGACCAAATCAGAGTTAGATCAAATTAACAGCTCTCCATGGAAGCAGACAACAGGGATGCAGCACAAAGTACCATGCCATGTTACCTCCTCACGTTGGCACTGCCACTAAAAACAAAACATCCATGAAAACTATCTAAATTCTGTCTTCTGGTGAGAGAAAGGAGCATGGCTTGTACACTGCTTTTGTCCAGCCAGTGCGTGCAAGGTGTGTGCAGTTGGATTCAACTTCATGTGATATCACACTTTCCAATGTATTTATTATACTTGCAACATGACATTTTGGGCATTACCTTCTTTCTCTCACCATCAGTGGCAGCCTTATATACACTTCCTATCTAGGCATTTCCCCCTGCCCTTAGACAGTTATTTACCCCCTTGGTGACATCTTAGGAAAAGGAAAAATGCCAACAGGAAAGGCAAGTCATTGAATGGATAGGTATGAGGTCTACTTTGTTTACAGTATGCTTCCCAACATCTTCCTTTCATTCTGAATGTGTATGTTGTTGAGAGAAAAAAATAAACCTTTAAAATGGGATTTATTTCTAAAGAGCATCGTGGAGCTGGAGCTATGTCCAACTGCATCTTCACTGGCAGCTTTGTAAGTAACCTACTGGGCAGGATGGTGCGGAGAAAGAATGAAAGTTCAGTCTTTGATGTACTAGAGGTGTCTTAGTCCTCTGATTGCCCTTTGATTAAAAACAAACCAAGTCCTTCATCCATGGTAAACCGTAGCTATTGCTTTTGACAGGTTTCTAAACACAAGCAAAATGGGGGGGTGGTGGGACGGACATGGGACGAACACGGGACGGGGACGGGACACGCACAACTACTTTGGTCGTGCTCCCTTCCCCCTCCCGATGCGCAGCTCTATCTGCAGCCCATGTGGCTGGGAGGCAGTCACAGCCGGTTCCAATTCCTACTTTCCCACTTTGCGCCCCTGCTCGCTGCCGGGGCTAAATCGAGCCAGGACCGGCCGCGGGCTTCCTCCCTCCCGCCCCCCCGCCGAGCCGTCCTCCCTCTCCCCCGCTCCATCCGATCCTCCGGTCCCCCAGGGCACAGTGTGGGAAGTACGAATTTCCGCTGAGTTTTCCCGGCAAGTTTCGGAGCTCGTCTTTCTCCGGCTCCCCGCTCCGCCCGCTCCCTCCACCGCTCCGCCCGCCCCCTCCGCCCCTGGGAGAGCCGGCGGAGCAGCGGGCAGCCGCTCGCTCCGCGGCCCGCCCCCCGCGGTACCACCGGCCCCGCGATCGCCGACCGCAGCCCGCACGGGGCGGCCGAGCCCGGTCGGCGGCAGCTGCAGTGCTCTCACCGCTCCGTGCCCCCTGCGAGTCCATGGTGCCGGGCAGCGCGACCTGCCGCCACCGCGCCTGCCTGCCCGGCACGGAACTCAGCCCGGCGCGGAGCAGAGGAAGGGCCGATTAGCAGCCGCGGAGGAGGCGGAGGGGATGCCGGAGCAACACAAAGCCAGCGGGGAAAGCAGCCCACGGCTCGTCCTGGGATGGGGGCGCCGCGCTGGGTCCGCCTGATGCTGCTGCCGCGGGTGCTCTGGGGCTCCGTCCCCCTCTTTTTCCTGCTGCTGCCCGCGGCCGAGTCCATCTGCCCCGAGCCATGCGACTGCCAGCAGCACCAGCACCTCCTGTGCACCAACCGGGGCCTGCGCTCCGTGCCCAAGGCTGCCGAGCCCCAGGATGTCCTCACCTACAGCCTCGGGGGCAACTTCATCGCCAACATCTCTGCCTTCGACTTCCACCGCCTGGCAGGGCTCCAGCGCCTGGACCTACAGTACAACCGGATCCGGTCGCTGCATCCCAAGGCCTTTGAGCGCCTGGATCGGCTGGAGGAACTCTACCTGGGCAACAACTTGCTGCCGGCGCTGGCCCCTGGCACCCTCAGCACCCTGGCTAAGCTGCGCATCCTCTACGTGAACGCAAATGAGATCGGCCGCCTCAGCGCTGCCTCCTTCTCCGGCCTCAGCAGCCTTGTCAAGCTGCGGCTGGATGGCAATGAGCTGGGCTCGCTGGGCGACTCCACTTTCTCAGGGCTGCCGAACTTACTCTACCTGCACCTGGAGTCCAACCGCATCCGCTGGCTGAGCCGCGGTGCCTTCACTGGCCTGGCTAAGCTGCGCTTCCTTGACCTCTCGGGGAACCAGCAGAGCTCCCTTCGCCACCCAGACATTTTCGGGCCGTTGCGCTCCCTCCACACCCTGCTGCTGGCCAGCAACAGCCTGCAGCAGCTCACAGGGGGGCTCTTCCAGCACCTGCCCGGCTTGGCGAAGCTCTCGCTCAGTGGCAACCGGCTGGCTCACCTGGCCCCCGATGCCTTCACTGGCCTGGGCTCACTGAAGGAGCTGCGCCTGGAGGGAAACCTGCTGAGCCACCTGCCTGCTGCCCTGCTGGAGCCGCTGAGCAGCCTGGAGGCGCTGGATCTGAGCCGCAACGCGTTAACCTCCCTACATCCTGCCACCTTCGGCCACCTCGACCGGCTGCGGGAGCTCAGCCTGCGAGACAACGCGCTAACCACCGTCCCCGGGGAGCTCTTTGCCTCCAACCCGGCTCTCTACCGCCTGGAGCTGGAGGGGAACGCCTGGAGCTGCGACTGCCGCCTCCGCGGCCTCAAGCACTGGCTGGGGGCCTGGCACTCCCAGGGCCGCCTGCTGACGGTCTTCGTGCAGTGCCGCCGGCCGCCCGCCCTGGCTGGCAAGTACCTCGACTACCTGCAGGACGCCCAGCTCCCACCGCCGCAGGACGGCGGCTCCTGCCACGACGGTGCGGCTCCCTCCGCCGCGTCCCCGCCGCCGTCTGTCGAAGGGCTCGGCAGCAACAGCAGCAGCGAGGGACTGCCCCGGGGGCCGCCGGGGCCGCCGCCGTCCGCCTCCACCGCTCGCCTGCTGGGGGCGCCCGAGGGCCCGGCGCCGCCGCCGAGGGCCGCGGAGGAGGCCGCCAGCCCCACGCCGCCGCTGCCCGCCCGCCCCTCGGCGTCCGGGCCGGCACCGCCCAGCGCGGCGTGGCCCCGACGGGCAGGAAAACCCCGCTCGGCGCCGGCTGCTGGGGTCCCACCGCTGGTGTCCGACCCGTGCGACTTCAACAAGCTGTTCCTCTGCAACCTGTCGGTGGAGACGGTGGGCTCCACCTCGGTGACGGTGCGCTGGGCCGTGCGGCCGCACCGCAGCCCCCGCCTGCTGGGGCCGGCGCGGTTCCGCCTTCTGTTCGATCGCTTCGGCGCCGCCGTCAAGTTCCAGCGCTTCGTCTACCTGCCGGAGCGCGGGGAACCGGCCGCCACTCTTCGGGAGCTCCGCCCGGACACCCCCTACCTCGTCTGCGTCGAGGGCATCCTCGGCGGCCGCGTGTGCCCGGTGGCGCCGCGGGACCACTGCGCCGGGCTGGTCACCCTGCCCGAGAGCGGGGCGGCGGCGGCGGGCGGGTCCCGCGGCCCCGACCAGCAGCTCCTCACCTTGGTGCTGCTGGCGGTGAACGCGCTGCTGCTCTTCGCGGCGCTCGCCGCCTGGGCCTCCCGCCTGCTGAGAAAGAAGGTGCTGGGGCGGCGGCGGCGGAAGGCGGCCCCCGTCCACGTGCGGCACCTCTACTCCACCCGCCGGCCCCTCCGCTCCATGGGCACCGGCGTCTCCAACGACTTCTCGGGCTTCCAGTCGCACCGGTCGCCCCGCGGCGCCGCCTGCGCCCTCAGCGAGGCCGATCTCATCGAGTTCCCCTGCGAGCGCTTCATGGACAGCAGCGGCGGTGGCGGCGGACGCCACGGCGACGACCACCTGCTGCAGCGGTTCGCCGACTGAGCCCACGCAACTACCGCTCCCGGCGGGCCCCGGGCGGCGGCAGCGGCCAGGCGCACCAGGGTCAGGCGAGGCGAGGCGAGGCGGCTCTTGGTCGGTGAGGGTATGGCCTGGGACCCGCTGGGTCGCAGCCTCGAGGTAGAGAGCTCTAGCGCAGTGGGTGCGTTCTGCCGCCCTCACTGCAGGCTGGGGCTGCTGCTGTGGTGAGGCAGGCTTGCTGGGTCACCTCTGCGGGGATGGCACCGTTTTCTCAGAAACCGACAGTAACCAGGCCAAAAGCCTCGATTTACGGTAGCCATTCTTTGTCATGAGGAGAGAAGAACAGCGGGAGCGACTGCAGACAGCAGGTGATTCCTGCTTATGTGGTCTCGGAGCCATAAGTTTAAGTGTGCTTTTCTACAAGTGGATTTTCCCAGGCTGCTGTTGCAGCAAGTTGGGGGGAGCAGCCTGGTCCTGTGTGAGGATGCTTTGAACAGACCTGTCAAAGGCACCGGCCCTTCTCAATCAAAAATTGGACTGGGGGGTCATCTTTGAATGTTACTGTGTGTGACCAGTGAGTTGTCTGGAGGGCTGGAAATGTACGATTTACTCTGGACTGTTCGAAGGCTGTGCTGTTTTAAACTCCAAATGAATGTGAGGCCATTTAATGTGCGCGAGTGTGTTTTCATACCTTTTTGTAAACGAGAATAATGCAACTGGTTAGTTTTACAGGAATATATTGCTGACACCACTAGGAAAAACTAACAAGAGTTTTATAATATGTTTACAAATGGGCTGGTTTTGAATTTGTTTTGAATAAATACTACTTGGTACTTGTGCACAGTAATGTGTGCTGTAGTTGTCTGGGTCCATGATGGTCAGTAAGTACATCACTGACTCTCATATAATCCATCTTCATTTGTAAATGGGTGGATGCAGAGGTGAGCTGTTGATGGATAAATAATATTATTGCCTTCCTTCAGAAACAATAATAGGTGAGAATCTTTCAGGAATGTGAAACAGTCTTTATCCTAACAGGCAATTCTCTCCTAGCCTTAGCCTACTAAAGTTAGAAGCTTTATGTACCACACTGTGAAATAACACGTTTTGTATATTAATCTAGGTTCTGTGTTTTGTGTAGCTGAGTGAGCAATGCTAAAGTTAAACCCTTATGCAGTAGTATATGATGCTTGAGTTGGGTTTGTTTTTAATTTGAATTTTGCTTTTGTTTTTAGAGCAATGCTAATCATTTTATGGTCAGTTGCTCTTTACTTTCTTGGGACTTCTACTTCCCTAAATATTTACTTACAGAATGTGGTTCTGATACTACAAAATATGGTGGTTTAGTTTACATTAATAATTCTTTCAATGTGGTCTAGAAACGAGCTAATTAAAGAGGTCCTAACTGGGGCTACACTTTAAATGGATGGAATTTGGTAAATTGTTGAGAGCAGTGATAGTACTTCTGCTCCGTTGAATTTAATGTGCAACCTCAGATGAACTCTTGTGGAACTGAATGGCTTGAAAGAAGTTAGCGGGTTATGGAGATGCTTGTCTCAGTATCATGCATTCATTGCTGACTCGGGTGTTCGTGACTACAAGTTGTTTATTACCATAATTGCAAGTAAGAAATTTGGTTGGTCTGGGAGGTTTTTTGTGTTTTGTTTTAGAGTTTTTGTTCTTTATTTCCTCCTCCCCCCCCCCCTTCTTTTTCAGATGAAAAGTGTTTACAAAAAACACCATAGCAACTGGTACCTTCAATTGGAGTTTAGTGACTGAATG